TGTTGACTAATAGTGGGAAATGTGTTTACTTGTTGACTAGTAGTGAGTAAATGAGTTTACTTGTTGACTAGCAGTGAGTAAATGAGTTTACCTGTTGACTAATAGTGATAAATTAGTTTACCTGTTGACTAGTAGTGAGTAAATGCGTTTACCTGTTGACTAGTAGTGAGTAAATGAGTTTACTAGTTCACTATTAGTTAGCAAATGGGTTTACTTTTTGACTAGTATTGAGTAGATGAATTCACCTGTTGACTACTAGTGAGTAAATGAGTTTGCCTGTTGACTAGTAATGAGTAGACAAGTTTACCTGTTGGCTAGTAATGAGTAGATGAGTTTACCTGTTGACTATAAGTTAGTAAATGAGTTTACCTGTTCACTAGTACTTAGGAAAAGAGTTTACATGTTGACTAGTAATGATTAGATGCGTTTATCTGTTGACTAGTAGTCAGTAAATGAATTTATCTGTTGACTAGTAGTCAGTAAATGAGTTTACCTGTTGATTAGTAGTCAGTAAATGTGTTTATCTGTTGATTAGTAGTCAGTAAATAAGTTTATCTGTTTACTAGTAGTTAGTAAATGAGTTTACCTGTTGATTAGTAGTCAGTAAATGTGTTTATCTGTTTACTAGTAGTCAGTAAATGTGTTTATCTGTTGATTAGTAGTCAGTAAATGTGCTTATATGTTTACTAGTAGTCAGTAAATGAGTTTACCTGTTGATTAGTAGTCAGTAAATGAGTTTATATGTTTACTAGTAGTCAGTAAATGTGTTTATCTGTTGATTAGTAGTCAGTAAACGTGTTTATCTGTTGATTAGTAGTCAGTAAATGAGCTTATCTGTTGACTAGTAGTCAGTAAATGTGTTTATCTGTTGACTAGTAGTCAGTAAATGTGTTTATCTGTTGACTAGTAGTCAGTAAATGAGTTTACCTGTTGATTAGTAGTCAGTAAATGTGTTTATCTGTTTACTAGTAGTCAGTAAATGAGTTTATCTGTTGATTAGTAGTCAGTAAATGAATTTAGCTGTTGACTAGTAGTCAGTAAATGTGTTTTATCTGTTGACTAGTAGTTAGTAAATGTGTTTATCTGTTGACTAGTAGTCAGTAAATGTGTTTATCTGTTGACTAGTAGTTAGTAAATTTGTTTATCTGTTGATTAGTAGTCAGTGAATGTGTTTATCTGTTGATTAGTAGTCAGTAAATGTGTTTATCTGTTGACTAGTAGTCAGTAAATGTGTTTATCTGTTGACTAGTAGTTAGTAAATGTGTTTATCTGTTGACTAGTAGTTAGTAAATGTGTTTATCTGTTGATTAGTAGTCAGTGAATGTGTTTATCTGTTGATTAGTAGTCAGTGAATGTGTTTATCTGTTGATTAGTAGTCAGTGAATGTGTTTATCTGTTGATTAGTAGTCAGTGAATGTGTTTATCTGTTGATTAGTAGTCAGTGAATGTGTTTATCTGTTGATTAGTAGTCAGTGAATGTGTTTATCTGTTGATTAGTAGTCAGTGAATGTGTTTATCTGTTGATTAGTAGTCAGTGAATGTGTTTATCTGTTGATTAGTAGTCAGTGAATGTGTTTATCTGTTGATTAGTAGTCAGTGAATGTGTTTATCTGTTGATTAGTAGTCAGTAAATGTGTTTATCTGTTGATCAGTAGTCAGTAAATGTGTTCATCTGTTGATCAGTAGTCAGTAAATGAGTTTATCTGTTGACTAGTAGTCAGTAAATGAGTTTATCTGTTGACTAGTAGTCAGTAAATGAGTTTATCTGTTTACTAGTAGTCAGTAAATGAGTTTATCTGTTGACTAGTAGTCAGTAAATGAGTTTATCTGTTGACTAGTAGTCAGTAAATGAGTTTATCTGTTGACTAGTAGTCAGTAAATGAGTTTATCTGTTTACTAGTAGTCAGTAAATGAGTTTATCTGTTGACTAGTAGTCAGTAAATGAGTTTATCTGTTGACTAGTAGTCAATAAATGCGTTTACCTGTTGGCTGGTGATGAGATGAGTTTACTTCTTGACTAGTAGTGGGTATTTTCTTGAAAAAAGTTTTTAATAAGTTCTTCAGAAGATTAATAATGTTGTGAAATGAAACAATACATCAATTTTAGCCTCAAAAACAACCAATACATGCAAAGCTCTATTTGTAGTAATATGTTTTTTAATTTTCTGTCCTTCCAAAATGACCATGCTTTTCTTTCCAGATATAAAAAGTGTAATACAGTGTATAGACCTTTAACTACTAGTTACCTGCTACAAACAGTCTGAAACAGGCCTTTGTCTTTAAGCATTGCACCTGGACTGTGGCAGATCCAGACACTGCTGTTGAAAACCAGCGGCCGATGAGTGAGTGTGTGTGTGTGTGTGTGTGTGTGTGTGTGTGTGTGTGTGTGTGTGTGTGTGTGTGTGCGCGTGCTGACATTCTGACACACACTATGCTGTCGGGTGTCCTTCTAGAGCTCCTCACATCCCTCCTGAGACGATGCCTGATCAAACCGTGTGTGTGTGTGTGTGTGTGTGTGTGTGTGTGTGTGTGTGTGTGTGTG